CATGGCGGTGCATTGATGTCAATGGCACAGTAGCCACGCCCCTCACCCATAGTTCGATCAACCCCGCACCCGAAACGCAGGTCCAGTGCGATGTTGCAAGCACTATTTTTGCAGATTGCACTGGACTGGAATGCAGGCAGGCGATCGCACTGTGGGTGGGGGGCATGGCTGCGGTGCCATTGACTTTAATACAACTCCACGCCCCCTCCTCCAGGGAGTCGGCCGGCTTGCATGTCAGTGCGTTCTGGCCGAATGTGGCCAACGTTGCACACTGTTCATAACTGGGGACACATAGTGCTACGTGTCCCCAGTTATTTACAAACACTGGAGTGACCACACTGGAACCGCTGTCACAGCAGCATGCACAGTGAGGAGAGAGAGATCCCCCCCTGCCAGCTGCAGTGCTTCCTTCACTGCTCCTCGGATCCCCGCTGCATACAGATGGGGGAGAGCAGCGGGGATCCAGAGAAGCCCCACGGTGGGAGGACAGGGCATCGCAATCTACCAGGGATCGCTTTGCGATCGACTGGTAGATCGCGATCGACCTAATGTGCACCCCTGCTATAGTCCCTTTCAAGACAACGTAAAAAACATTGAATAGATGAAATCTCTCTCTGATGATGGAGACTTGGACAGTTGGGAGTAAATCATCAGGCTTACAGTCTGCTTTAAGTATGAATTTAAGGTTCCCAGAGCTTATGTCTGTTGAGGGACATTCATCAAGCAAATTGGCAACAAAGCTAGACAGGTTTATCTGATAGCAGTTTTGGGTGTGAGCAACCCCTGCGCCTGTAATCCTGAGCAACCAACAGAGACAGTTTTGCAAAGGTCTGCTCTTGATTTATCACTGTGTATCAGATTAACTTTTTCACTCAAAACACTCGTACAATCAAATCCCAGCATCCCATCAGTAACATTTTCTTATAATTGCTAGACCTAAGGAGAGCTCAGACCACAGTGTTCAGTACATCCTTTTTTCACTATACATTCCGAACTTGTTTCAGACTATATTGTGTATATAATCAAGAGGAAGTGGCAACGCCGCCATGGTTTACCTTTCATTGAAGTCTTATTACATATGATGCTGTTGCCAGACCATGCTTCAAGTTCATTGAAAGGAAATAAAGAGTTTGGTGGTAATGCGACTTCATCTATTGTGGATTTGGAACTTTAGGGAGAGGATGGACCCCACACAACTATAGCACCTGCAGCCTGTGGTTAGGGAATATAAGTTTGCATTTAAAGTAGTATTAAACTCTCAAACATTTGTTCAATACGGAGTCCAGATCAAACAAATATATACATTGCCCAGCAAAGTGTTTCTTTAAATTTTGTCCCAAACACTTAAGTCATCATGTTACCGAACAGCTCCAACAAGGGACAGAGCAGTCTCCAGCAACTAAATCTACTGGCTTGGGAGGAAGGAGCAAGGCGCAGGGAAGTTTATTTCCTTGCTGTGCCTGTGTGTTTGTGAAGACACAAACAATTTACTAGCACATGCAAGGATGGCCCCATAGGACCCTGCAAAGGAACAGAGCCACTCTGCAACAGGATATCAGGGCCAGTGCTCAGGGGAGCAGCTGATTCTTCAGGAAACTAAACCTTTTAAAAATCAAGGGGCAGCATCCATTGTGAGTGATTTAATCAGCATTTGAAATAGATTAAAAACCTTTTGACTTTAATATCACTTTAAGCGGTACAATGTTTTGCTTATATTGTGTATGTACTCTGTACCAACCAATGTCACCTGTAATCTCACAATAAAGTTTAATTAAAAAAAACACAATTACAAAGTAGTTAGGTACAAATATTTGGAGCAGTGCCACTTTATGGAGGAATGTATTAATGGAGCTGCAGTCTTATAGTAAAGCTGTGTCATGATCTGTCTCTCTGCTCATTTTAGCATTTCCTTGCTGTGCAGCGGAATTGGCTTACTTGAGTCTCTTGACATTCTGCTATGGTATCTTGAAGACAGTTTTAGTACAATTTTATATTGTTAGCAGCTGTTGAAGACTAAGTGCACATTGAAACATCATACAGCGTCCAAAGTACAACAAGAAGCATCCGTTGCGTTTTAACACTCAGAGGCTGAATGCTTACATATCTTTGGATCCCCAGTGGCAGGGGTGCCACCAGGCCGGGTGTCATCCGGTTCACACGTCATTACGTGTGCACGTGACGTCATTATGCACGTGCGTAATTACGTCATGTGCACTTCACTGCCAGCGGCCATTTTGTTGATGGATGCAGGCAAAGTGAGGAGGGAACTTCATGCAGCGGGACAAGTTATGCAGCCGGGTCTTCTCTCTTGTGCAGCTGTCGGGCTCTCAGCCCATGACTGAGGGCCTGACTTTTCAGAGGGGGGGGGGGGGGGAAACACACACACCAAAATGACTTGTCAATCATTTTGGTGCCACCCCACCTTGTGATACCACTGCCCTGTGGATAGGGTTTACCATCCTCTGCTGCAGTAATTACTGTAATGTGTTTTTAGAATCTGAGAGAGTAGACTTGGCTAATGAAGGAAAGTGGATGTCCAAGAAAAGCAGCTGTTGGAAGCCGTGTGTTGTGAAAGACAAACAGAAGCACCGATTACTGTGAAAATAACATTACACCATCAGGATATGTTTTACTGGAACATTTACACAATGTTGTAATGACCATTTCAATCCTAGATGGTCAACACTGATCTTACAGGGAATCAGTGTTAAAGAAGAACTCTGATGAACACTATTATTAACCCTTGCAGTGGGGCTACCTCCGCACTACAAAGGTTAACTGCTCGTTTTGCTCTAGGGAGAAAAATAGCAAAGTTATACTCGTAGGATCCTTGGAGCCAGCCTCTCTCCTCCTCTACTTCAGTGATGGTTTATCTCTCGTTGTCCTCACATCCTATACACTTTGTATAGAACGTACTGACTCAGGAACCATTATAATAGATTATAATCCCAGTACAAATCGGTATACTAAGCATGAGATTGTAGTTCACCATGGGAGTGAGCCTGGAGCGGTGGCTACTTTACAACACACAGGGACCATGGGGAACAAAAGTAGCCACCCCCCAGAAGGAAGGACAGTGTCCGCACCAATTCAGAGATGATTTGAGGATCTACAGCCGAGTGATGTACAAATAAGATACATTTTTGTTAATAATAAAGGTACTTGAATGCATTTTTAAGCTTGAACTCCAGAGTTTAGTGTCTCTTTAACCCTTGCAGTGCAGAAGTAGCCCCACTGCAAGGGTTAAGAAACAAGTCTTCTTTAAAGACTTAGAAGCATTGTATGGTTATGAGAAGGAGCTCAGTCTGTTCCTCGGTTTGTCCCTCTACTTTCAGTTTCAGACTGCTCATAGTAGCTTGGAATCCACATAAAGGCCTCCACCAAAGAAACATCTAAAAGTTAAGAAATATATATAAAAAAATATTTGATCTATGCTGTATAAATGGGAAGACATTAAAAAGCATACAGAGGCGTTTCTCAAATTTGACTGCAAAAGTGGAAATACACTGTAAGTCATGGCTTTCTAGGTTAGTGACCTGCATATTGACATGCATCTGCATACGTTCTGTTGCCTTTTTATCATACCTCTGTAGTGCACAGCCTATGGTTCCCTTCAGCTTTAATTTTAGTTATTCGGGGATTTTCTCTGTATGACTGGATTATTCATTTCTTTCTTGCAGGAAGATTAGATGCCTTTCTCTTGTCTAAAAAATGAGTGCCGAGCCTTCCTCATCATCTGCAAGACCAAAATGCAAGGTCAAGTCTGCCCTGAAGAAGATTTTTGGATTTGACTCTTTTCGGTCTGATCTCCAGGAGAATGCAACTCGTACTGTGGTTAGAGGTGGGTGCCATCTTCATGACCTATTCTTGTTTCCTGGTGGACTTAGTGCAAGGACTTTTTACTAGTGCTAGAATAAGGGTTGAAGTTTTTTACTGATTTTTTTTTTTTATTCAGTTGCTTTACAGTTATAACTATTTATTTTGTTTTAGCTTACATTTTTAAACATTTTAATTTATGTACTGTTTATGTAGCAGTATGAGATGACATTTAATTATATGAATAGGGTAAGAATCTGGAAAAGTGTAGAGGGGCATTAGGAGTTTGATAATATAACAGATAATTATACTATAATATAGACAGAGATAATATATAGATAATGACAATCTGTGTAACCTCAGGACCCACACTTTTTTTCCATGGTCATTAAGTCGTGACCCAAAAAGAATTTTGCGTTTGTGGTGGTACCTAACGTGTGGTGCAATTATTTTTACATACACCTACATGCCCCATGCACGCGTGTTTATTCGCATGCAGATGGGGACAGCAGGGTTGGTTTACATTTTTTTTTAACTGTTATTTTATTATTTTTGTCACTTTTTACAATTTTTTCCACTTAAGTTTCTTGCTGTCACACAGGAGCTAACAAGCGTGTAGTGTATGGAGGTGACGGGTTTAATTTATGGAGACATCTGGGGTTTATTAGATCCCTGATGACTCCCCTGCACTCCAACACAGGCAATCGAGCAGAGCATTGTGCTCGATTACCTGTGCAGCCTGGCTTGTGACAACTGAGACAGAAAGCTTGGTGAGTACAGTGCTCCTGCCCTACTGATCACTAAGAGCAGATCAAGGCTGTACAGCCACCCAGATCACTTGTAGAAATTAGCAGCGGAGCCCCTGCTACTGCATCCCCCCCAGCTTTTGCACTGACACCTAAAACTACACTTTTCACTTTGGATGGTGGATAAAAGGGAAAGACTGAGCGAGAACCATGTTGGCTCCAACATCTGAAATCGCTCCAGTTATTGTCTTCCTGCAGTACTCTTCATACTCATGTCTGAATTGGGTGTGGCTAACATTATGCAGAAATATATATATATTTTTTTATAGATATAGCCTCCCTCCTGTATTACTAGCACTACTTATCCTCTCCATGCCCCAGCACTATTCCCCACGTCTTCCTTTGTCCAATGTCACACATCTCTTCTTGTGAGCTTAGGCTGCCATTGACATGCTCCCTAGGAGTGCATCATCTCACAGCCTGGGCTTGCAGTACTCCTCAGTCCAGGAAGAATCCTCATCTCCCAGCCTGCACGGGCAGGCTATGCTCCCTATTTGGTATCAATCCGCCGTGCTGGGACGGATTGATATCGGCTGAACTGCGGACTGAGTTTAACTTTGCCGCGACTTTAACTTAAGCTCCCGATATAATTCTGCGGGCCGGTAGTGATAAAATAGTTCCCTCTCTCACCGGGCCCTATCACTTCAGCAGGGGTCTGGGGAGAGAGGGGACTGTTTCACAATACAGAATCCTGCAAGCTGCCACAAAAAGTCTCCTCTCTGTCTTCCTGCTGAAGGATGGCTGCCCTATGTAGTAAAGACGCTGCGACCCACCGAAGAAGGGGTTGCGGCCCATTAGTTGAGAACCAGGTATATAGATAATATACCATAGATATAGATGACGACAATAAAATAGAAAGGAAAGCTAGGACCAAAACCCACTGCCCAAATCTCCCCCCTTTCCTTTGTGGTTCAAGTCCTGGGACAATACCCGATTACTAGGAGCAGAACTGAGTCATTTACATATTTCAGTGAGTAGACTTTCTTAGTCACTGAATCCATGTTTCTCTTTATGATCTGTAGAGAGAGATGTACATGTTGGTAGTTGCATATAGTACCCAGGTCTCCCGGGGCATGCCTAGTAAGCGACTAAGTCAGTTGGATCCTCTGTTTGCCTCTTCATATGTATCTATAGCCATAACTTTATTTTGCGTTTTGTATAAAGTAGGGAAATAGTAAGGAGTAGGGAAAGGCTACAACCCTTGTCATTTTTCGGCAGGCTACGTCTCAATGGGGAGGCTTCTCTTCACCTCCTGTGATTTGCCATCTTGTTCTGTTACGATGACTATCGATCACCAGGACAAATAGAGAGGGTGAATCTTCATAGCTATAGATACTTGTGTTTAGAGGGAAATACATTTTGTTATTTGACTATAGTTTTGAATTAATGACAAGTTTACTTTAAAGCAAAACTGTGATGTCCTACAGAGTGTGTAAACTAAAAGTACTAGTAAATCATAAGGGTAGGGTATTCAGACAGATGTGGGTGTCGGTTGTAGCCTGCTGGGGAGATTCCCCCATCCACACTGCTAAAGGACCGAACAAGAGTAATCTAAACATGTATAGCTAGCTTTACTCATTACTTATATCTTATTCAATGTATGTCTCTTTAGGTGACCGAGATGTGTTCGTGTGCATGCCAACTGGAGCTGGCAAGTCTCTCTGTTATCAGCTTCCTGCTGTCCTTACAGTGGGAATTACCATTGTTATCTCTCCACTTATTGCTCTGATTCAGGTAATGACAAAAACTTAAATGCGGATTTGTGGCATTGTTTAGCAAAACCTGCTACATGAGCTTACATTGCTGCGCATTCTCAGTACTACTTATACACAAGCATACATTGTTGCGCATTCTCAGTACTACTTATACATAAGCATACATTGCTGTATATTCTCAGTACTACTTATACACAAGCATACATTGTTGCATATCCTCAACACTCATTATACATGAACATACATTGTTGCACATTCTCAGTACTCCTCATACATGAGCATACATTGCTGCACATTCTCAGTACTCCTCATACATGATCATACATTGCTGCACATTCTCAGTACTCCTCATACATGAGCATACATTGCTGCATATTCTCACGTGTTATGACTACAGCAGGTGTACAGAAAGCTTACTATCAGACTCACTGAAAAATAGAAGAACACTTACCTCTTTGGTTCAGTAATTTAAAGCTGAACTCAAGGCAGTTATAAAAAGGCGCAAATTAATGCAATTATGTAATTATTAAAACTATTAAATGTATTTTGAAGTGCAGCTAGTGCAAATACCGTAATCTGTGTTAAATTCAGCCTCCTGTATTTGCCTCTACAACAGTTTTCAGACTGAAAGAGGCAGGGGCAGCAATTTGACTTAAAAGGATCTGATCCAAGAACAATGCTGACAGAAGGAGAAAGCAGCTTCAATCTGATGCTGCTCCTTCATTGTCCAGTTAAAGGCTTGGAACAGATTGGTGACCAAATTGTATTGCCTAACTGCAGTGGAGAAAAGAGAGGTAATTATCCTTGCTGTTCTCTCTGCCAGACCTGTGTAAGTCTCGGTACTAGACCAACAAGTGCTTTGGCAGGTAAAACAACTTCCATATGTATATTTAAAATTGTATTTATCTGTGGTTCAGAAAGATTCAGTTCTAATAATATCAGGGAAGACTAGAGTACCCATTTTCAGTGAAATAACCATCTAATAAAAACTAACTAATTCCTTTTCACTTTTGTGTCAAATTTCCAGGATCAAATAGACCACCTTCTAGCCCTGAAGATTAAAGCCTGCTCCCTGAACTCCAAACTGCCCTCTGCAGAACGCAGAACAATCCTTCAAGATCTGGAGAGCGAAAGCCCCAAAACCAAGCTTTTGTACATCACCCCTGAAATGGCTGCTGCTTCTTCTTTTCAGCCCACACTGAACCTTCTGCTATCTCGCAGCCTCCTGTCCTACCTCATCATAGATGAAGCCCATTGTGTCTCTGAATGGGGCCATGATTTTCGGCCAGATTACCAGCGTTTGGGGACTTTGAGATCTCGATTGCCGCAAACGCCTTGTGTTGCTCTCACTGCTACAGCCACCAAGAAAGTGCAAGATGATATTATATCGTCACTGAGGCTGCACCAACCAATTGCAATGTTTAAAACTCCTTGCTTTCGTGTCAACCTTTTTTACGATGTTCAGATGAAGGAGCTTTTGGTAGATCCTTATGGAAGTCTCAAGGATTTCTGCTTGAAGGCTCTAGGAGAGAAGAAAGCTACAGGGGTAAGGACAGTAAATCAAATACACTGGAATAGTAAATTGTGCTAATGATTTACTAACTACTCATTTTAATTGCCAGTAAGGCCTTGAGGCATGCATGTCTATTACTTATTAAAACACTCACAAACCTAAAATCCAGGCTTAAATACATAATGTGCTATGAATAAAATTTCTACTGTTTCATATAATGGTTTCTAATAAGACCATAGCTCTAGAAGCCCCAGTTCAGACAACAATTTAAAGTAGAACTTAGGATGTATTGAGGGGAGTGGTTAGATGCTCTGCCAGTTTATTTGTCCATGTTTCTCCTCACTTCCTCTGTGGTTGTTGGAAAAGAAGCAAACAGAATTTCCTTAGAAGAGATGCAGGTAGCAATTTTGTAAAATGGGATCAGTATTATTTCTCAGGATTTTATTGCTGATTCTGTTCCTACTAAGCAGAATCCCCTCAACCCTTGTGTGGTCACAGGAACAAAAAGTGAGAGGGAATCACTTCAATATGGCAACAGGCAGCAGTTTTGGAAGCACACATGTTTTAGGAGATGGGGCACTCTGATATTTTATTAGTTTTTTGTGTGTGTTATATATATATTTTATCATACATGAGAAAAGAAACTTAGAGCACTACTAGTAAGCCAGAGACACAGCTCAGCAGAAATATTTAATTCTCTGATATAGCTACCTCTCAAATTTAGTCTGGCATTAAGAGATGATCTCTGTAACCAACAGGGGTTTTACTACAGATATGTAAAAAGGAGCCAAGCCTGCTGGATGGATAAAATACTAAATAAAAAGGTTTACATAGACCGTAATACATAGACTCTAAGAAATAAGGTGCCATGGGTTGCAGAAGATTTGGTTAAAACATGTAGAAGCCAGAAGATAGTTTTTCTTTTCTAAAGCAGGTTAAAAAACATAAGGAGACATAAAAATGGCTGGATAACAGACAATAGTCTGTGCCCTTGTAAGCTAAACAATAAATTGGTCTGTCCTAACACAGGGCTTCTCAGGCTGTGGAATAGTGTACTGCCGAACCAGAGATGCTTGTGCGGAAGTAGCAACTCAACTGTCTCAGAGAGGTGTCCCCTCCAAGGCCTATCATGCTGGTAAGTGACAGTTTATAGATGAAATTCTTTTCTGCACAGTGTACTTAATCCATTTCAGCAAAAGATCGTCCATCTTTCTCTATCAGGTCTCAAAGCAGCAGACAGAGTGACTGTCCAAAATCAGTGGATGGAGGAGATCGTTCCAGTGATAGTGGCTACCATCAGCTTTGGAATGGGGGTGGATAAAGCCAATGTGAGGTGTGTTGCTTTCTTTGTATTAGTAGGGTGTAGGAAATGTATTTATTACAATCCTTCTTAACATTGTTTTTATTTTTGGCAGGTTTGTTGCACACTGGAATGTTGCCAAATCATTGGCTGGCTACTATCAGGAATCTGGAAGAGCTGGTCGAGATGGCAAGCAATCTTTTTGTCGCCTTTACTACTCTCGTACTGACAGGGACCAAATCAGCTTTCTTATTAAAAAGGAGATCACAGCAGCTCAGGTCAGTTTAAGTAGCAGAGGCGGACTGGATCTTATATTACCAGTAGAACCATGTTTATATTGAAATAAAATATTATTTAAAGGACAAATTTACTTTTACTAAAATTATACAAAGACTTCCCGCCCAGTTCATTCTTGTGATGTAAATACGTATCTGCTGCCCCTTTATGGCAGAAGCTGACCGACTAATATGCTGCCTGGATCTTATATTACCTGTAGAACTATGTTTATATTGAAATGAAATATTATTTAAAGGACACATTTACATTTGCTAAAGTTGTACTTAATTAACTTCCCCCCCAGGTTATTCTTGTGGTGTAAATATGTACCTGCTGCCCCACTGCTCATATCCTTGCTGTGTTGGTCTTGTGGGCACTACACAACTTTTTCCCAAACAAAGTGCAGCTGGCCCTTGTGCCTGCTACGCAGCCATCCGTGGCGCCTGTTCATTCCTATGAATGGGTCCATACGGTTTCTGCAAATAGGGCAAGGAGTCAACCATAGGAATGAAGACTGTGGCACTTGCAAGGTAGACGGAGGGTCCAGTTACGACTCTTTCAAAGAAAAGTCTGTGCAGTGCTGGGCATGCACAGTAAACATCTCTGAAGTGGGTATTTTTCTCCAGGGAAATCACTTTTGGGGAGAAGGGTGGAGTGGGCCATAATGCACAGCTTGTCATTTAAATAGAACTCATGTTTTTATAGTGCTTGTGCCCCACATGCATATTACTTACTTTCTTGTCACTGCTTACATAACATTGTATAACTTTACAGAGATTTCAGCTGGTTCAAAGTGAACAGCGTGAATCACACTCTTGCTATTTGTTTAAATTGAAGGGAGTTGTGGCCTTATAGTTGTCCGCTGGTTACACGCAGGTGTAGAAAATGCACATGGTATAAATGCACAGTATACTTGCACATAAGAACACACTTAGCTTACTATTGTGCCTTCTCCAGCGCTGTCGGATCGATCTTTGGTCCCTTGGTCTATCTCCCGCGGCCGCCATCTCCGCCACCGACATTTCTGGGTTCCCAGGAGTCCCCTTCAGCTATTGGGTGGCTATTAATGATGTACCTACTGCTCATGTGCACTAAAACTACATCATCCCCAGCACACGGCCCATTCATGGCATCGTAGAGAACGGCTGACAAACCACTGTGTAGTTAAAATTTGACAGGGGTTCTAACTATTCCCTACTCTATCCAAAACAATAAAAACATTTTGTCTATGCATACTTTTGATATTTTTGTTAATTTATTGTAAATAAATTGAGCATTTTAGAAAGGTTTCTTACAGGAAATGTTTTTATACAGTTATACCACTCTTATTGTATGAATAAACATAATGCTAATGTTAGAATCATGTATATGTCTGCATTTCAGGCAAAAAGGAGAGATACCAAAGCAACAGACAAAGCTGCTATGGTTGGATTTGAGACAATGGTGAACTTTTGCGAGGAGCTGGGGTGAGTGTCATTGTAATGTCCTTAATGGTGTCAGCACTCTGCACGATTGCTTTATTTTGTGGATATTAAAGTTAAACTCTAGTCAAGTTACTATTTAACATTTTTTGGTTGTTTGTCTCTCTGGCACCTTGTTGTGTCTTCTCATAGAGGATAGGGTAATGTCATCAGTTTTTTAACATGCTCAGTTCACTTTACGTCATTTACATCATCTTTGTTTTAATTTAAGTGATTAATAAATATGCAATTATGTGAAAACGTATCTTTTCAGTCAAACATTAATTCACATAAAACAATCCATAAGTTAAATAAATTAAACTAGAAAGTCTCCTAAGCAGGAGATAATATGCTATATAAACAGTGTTCCTCCACTGTGTGAATGAAGTGCCAATCTGCACAAAACTCCAAGTGCTCTTCATCTTCACACCTCTATGTAAAAGACACACTCACCAGATGCATAGGACCCCTAAAAATGAAGAAGATACCAAGCGTTTGATGGAAAGGTTTGTAATTGATGAAATGAAAACTTCCCAGGACCTTTAGGAATTAGTGGTGGGCAAATACTTCCATATCACACCTCGCGGGCCCAACAGTTCACACCACAAACAGTGTGTTCCGGCCTAATTTGGTGCCAGAACCCACTGGATCGCATCCCGGTCGGCTCCCTGTGTTCAGGGGCGGGAGGGGGCGTGGCGGTGCAGAGGCAAACTTAAAATCCTGATTTAAAACTATAGTTTCCTCTCTAGTTGAAACCGCATAATTAAAAATTAAAAGTCCCTTCCCCTAAAATTCCCTTCTTTTTAATCTTCCACCCTGCTCTGCATCCTCTTTCTCCTTCCTTTGTCTATTGGTTCGTAGGCCCTCTTCCTGAAATCCCCATTCCTATCCCTCTGCATTTTGAAATCCCCAGTGCTGTCTCTCTACCTTTCCCCATAGATTCCTGTGGTTATTTTATTTCCCAGGGCCTCTTTCCATTTTACTGATTTCCATAACAAGGATCCTTCATTTTTAAGGTTTTATGGAATCGATAGAATTTATAATCATTGGAGAGGTTCGGATATGAAGAAGGAAATATCTAATACATTGTACCCAGGAGGGTTGAATATAGATATAGGTCTTTACTGTTTTATTCCATTCACAAAAGTTTATTATGAAATAAACAAATAACACACTGAAACATATAATGATAACATAACACATCGAGTAGAGAAGAATTCGATAAAATGGCAGCAATAAATACAAACTAATGTATTCTAAGTGATGAACATATCATTAATAAAGTGTACAGCCAAGAACAATAATGATCAGGATCAAATGTTAACATACCTCCCCCCATAAAAAACAAAAGGGGGAGTAAACCATAGAAAGAAAAGAGCGAAGGAAAAAGGTAAGAAGGAAATAAATTAAAAAAAGAAGAGAAATATAAAATCCTGGGGGACCAGGGTGTAAACCATTATAAATCCAGCAACAGAGGGTCAGATCTAGGAAGATGTGTGTAAGAAATCCAAGGTTGCCAGATTTTAAGGAATTTAGCGTATCGGCCAGAATTGCGGTTAGTTTCTTATTGATTATAATACCAGACAGTCTGTTTTTAACTGCCTCAAGGCTTACATTCGAAGTACACCAGGCTTTAGCAATAGTAAGCAAGAAATACATGTTGGACTAGTGTTCATTCGGAATAATTGTTTTGTTTCTAATTTTTAGTTGGGGGTTGTATTATTTTAAAGAAATAATGTTAGGAGATGAATCTTTCCTTTTTGTCCTATTTACGAGAATAGAAACACAATATCCCCTTTGTCCTCTAGAGGGGTTAGGCGCCTTCTAACGTGATGGGAGATACAGTATTCCCTTTTGTCCTCTAGAAGGGGCTAGGTGCTTACTCACTGTAAAGGTTGTTAATTGGGGTATATCAGTTGCTATGGTACACATTTTTAGAGCTGCAGCTAACGATTATTTTCAGAATTGATTAGTTAGCCGATTATTAAGTTCGATTAATCGGATAAAAAATAAAATGCATTTTTAAAAATGGCTCCAGTGATGGGACTACTGGTTTGTATTGAGATTGCAGTCCATCACAGGAGCAAGCTTGGAGCGGTGGAAGTAAAAAAGGAAAAAACAAGTGTGGTGTGCAATATAGTGAAATGAAAAGTTGAAAATTATACAGCGATGAATACAGAATGGCATCGGCTATAGAGGACTACAAAACCCAGCAATAGTACATTATAGCTGGCGGTATTCTGCATTGCGCTGTATAATGTATTATTCCTTGATTTGTAGTCCTCTATACAGCGCAATGCAGAATACCACCAGCTACAGAGGAGTACAACAAATCCCAGCAATAGTACATTATAGCTGGCGGTATTCTGCATTGCGCTGTATAATGTATTATTCCTTGATTTGTAGTCCTCTATACAGCGCAATGCAGAATACCACCAGCTACAGAGGAGTACAACAAATCCCAGCAATAGTACATTATAGCTGGCGGTATTCTGCATTGCGCTGTATAATGTATTATTCCTTGATTTGTAGTCCTCTATACAGCGCAATGCAGAATACCACCAGCTACAGTATATAGGAATAATCGATGATTGAAAAAGTTGACAACTTTTTCAATAATCGATTATAATCGATTATGTCGATTAGTTGTTGCAGCCCTACACACTTTGCTTTTATCGTTCTGTGGATGACCAGATGGACAAAACGAGTTGGGCGGGACAAAGCACGTGTGATATCATCACATCTGTGAGGGGCGGGTCTTTAGGCACGAGAGAGTTGGAAGCAACAAGTGGTGTATCTCTTTGGCCACCGCTACTTTCTAAGGGTCCTATATATTGGGAAGTGTCCTTTCATTACTCACCAACCTTTACATCATGCACCTAAGACCTTAATTTTAAGGGGTCCTATGCATTTGGTGAGTGCGTCTTTTACATGGAGGTGTGGAGATGAAGGGAACTTGGTTTTGGCCTACTTGTGAAGATTTGTACAGAACGGCACCTTAAAGCAGTACTAAAGGCTGGGTGTTTTATTACCTTAATGCATTCTCTTCAATAAGGCAAACACCCAGTACTTTTCTAAACCTGCGTCCCCCCCACACTTACCTGCAGCCGCTTGCATCCTCCGCCGTTACCGGGAAGATACTCAGGGTTCTTTGAACTTCCTGGTTGTGGGGAAAGGGTACTGAGGGCAGAGGAGCCATAGGCTCCTTATGCCATCAGTCAAACTGTGACTGCATGGGTGGGGGCGTGGCTGGTGGCATGCTGTGTGTGTCTATAGACGCACACAGCTAGGTGCTGGCTTGGCCGTGACCATGCACGTAAGGGTGCCTCCACAGCAGCTAGTGGTTTGGATACCACCAGAGAACGAGGAAATAAAATAATGTAAAGAATACAAACAATTTTTATAGTAAGTCTGGCCCCCATAAACAAGAAAAGTAAAAAAAAAACCCAGAAGGTTTAATGTCACTTTAAGTTGGGTATTCACGCTTCTATTTTCTTTGTTTAACCTGCCAACCAAACCAAGAAAATAGAACAGATTCCTCCATCAACATGTGTAGGAGCGTTGATCGAGGAATCTCCCGCTGTTTCCTTTGTATTCTGACAGCAGCCGCTAGTTCTGGTAAGCTGGCAATTTTCCGATATGCTCCTTGACAGCGGTGACAGCGGCACCCACGCATCAAATTACAGCTTGTTCATGAAGAACTGGGTGAAATTCGAAGCGTGTAAACCTGGCTTTACTCATACAGTGAAGTAAGACTATTTACACAGCATCCTGTTTTGGAGACTTTTAGTTTAATTTCTTCAACCTATGGATTGTTTGATGTGAATTTGTTTAGTATGATAAGTTTTCATATAATTGCATATTTATTTGTCACTTACCACTGTATTTGTTTTGTTTGTCCATATACCCAGAGGGGTATTCACACTGATGCTTGCACTGGATTAGGTTTTAGGATAACGTACAGATTTTAGTGCCCGCACCTTTGTTTTTAGGACATTTTTTTAATGTAAATGTAGGTTGATTTCCAATATTGGCCTTCTGTCTTCACTGTTAAGTTAGCACTGCTTGTTTTCCTTTTCACATTACCATTGTTTAACAGATTACTGGTTTATAGGTGTGCATATTACATTGGAGTTTACTGTTTATTGTATCGTGGAAATGGCACTTAAAGGGTCACAGAATGTAACTGCAAGCTGGTTTATGCAAACAGTACAAATTACTATATGTATAAAAAGACATATTAAAGGACAACCACGGGGTGAGGTAATTACACTCATCCCCATAGTTAGAGCCGATGTGGGACATTGAAACTGTCACAGGTCAGCTCTATTGATCGGTAAGTGAGGCGAAACATGCACAGATCCGCTCACTTCCCGATCATCTCCCTGCAGAGAACGGTGACTGTCAGTCATCTCTTCCCGCAGGGATTCCCCCCTCCCCTCTCCAATTGTCCAGCACTGAGTGGAGGGATGGGCGGGGGAGGGGACGGGCATAGCTGGCTCTTCCTCTAGATAGGCAGAGCATGATGTCAATCAGCCAGCGGGTTGGATCTCGACAGTGGCGCTCTCAGTATATTGCGTGTAATAGCCCACTACATACTGAGTTTTGGGTCACAGAAGGATGTTAGTATAATTTCATCATCTCCCTGATCCAGACATAGCTCTTTCCATATTGTGTTGTCACCACTGTTTTCTTGCTCATGTGCCAAGTCTATGCATGCCATGTCTACACACGGCTTGCTCTCCCTGTCTCATAGTCAGCAGCCCATGTCACAGGCAGCCACAAGAAATTAATTAACAGAATCCTCTGCAGGGAGCCTAAATATCATCAAAGCTAAGGCAGTCAGGCGGTTAGTAGTGAGCGATTGTACGCTAAGCAACAACGTGCTATTAGAATTCCAGTGTCTACCCACCAGGGAAAAAAAAAACAATGCTTATAACATAAAAAGTTTTATTTGGTAAATTGCCATCAGACTAAATGGCACGATGCGGCTTATTACCACCCGG